AATCTTTAACGTATAAATATAATATAAATATCCACTGACTTTCTTTTTTCTTTTATTTATTTATTTATTTTTGTTTGTGTATCCATAGGAATGTAAAAATGGCTCATGGTCTGTGAACGGCCCGAAACCTGCCCATAGCGCGGGGTGGGCTCGGCCCGTTTAGACTCGAGCCCAAGCCCAGCCCAAGGTCTTAGGCTTGGGCCATCGTTTTGAAGCCCGGCCCGGCCCATTGGCCCGCTTAAGGCCCACTCAAAAGCCCTACCTGACTTTCTTTTTTCTTTTATTTACTTATTTATTTTTGTTTGTGTATCCATAGGAATGTAAAAATGGCTCATGGTCTGTGGACGGCCCGAAACCTGCCCGTAGCGCGGGGTGGGCTCGGCCCGTTTAGACTCGAGCCCAAGCCCAGCCCAAGGTCTTAGGCTTGGGCCATCGTTTTGAAGCCCGGCCCGGCCCATTGGCCCGCTTAAGGCCCACTCAAAAGCCCTACCTGAGGCTGGCTTGTGCCGAGGCCCAGTGTTATTTTTAATGGAAAATAATAAAATTTTAGTGAAAAAAATAATTAAAAATTTTGTTTAGGCCCGCCCAAGTCCGCCTAAAGCCTGAGGCCAGACCCAAGCCCAGCCCACTAACCTACCCAAAGCCCGAATACCCATGGGCTTGGGCTTGGACTTGGGCCTTGTCACGACCCAAACCCGCCCCTATAGGTTTAGCATCGTAACCGGCCAGTAATCCTTGGACTACCGAAGGCCTCTGGACAGATTAACAAGATTAAGGGACTAGCGGAAGCAAATACATAAATATAATTGTCCAATGAGAAATGAGTTTTGAAGGCTTAAAGGTTGAGTTTCATGCTTAGAGGTCAATCTGGATTTTCTAGAAATTTGACCCACGCTCAAGCGGGTACTTTCACGCTCGAGCGTAAATCCTAAGTACATGCACTTCCGCTCGAGCGTCGATAGTTACGCTCAAGCATAAAATGCGTATACCCAGAAGTTTGTGTGTTTTGCAGTCTGCTCGAGCGGGGGAATCCACACTCGAGTGAGACTCTGAGTCTCACACTCGAGTGAGGGGTCAAGCGCCCGTCGAGCGTGAAAATCATGCATCCAGTACTTTTGTCGATTTTACAGTCCGCTCGAGCGATGAAGTTTACGCTCGAGCGGAGCTTCAATATCTGCATGTCTGCTCGGGCGGGGTAATCCATGCTCGAGCGTGGACCTTATCTTCAGCAACATTTAGGAAATGGTTTTCAAGGCATTTTTGCATCCACATTCCATCCTAGGCATTCCCAGGCCATGTTTAAGGCCCTTTAATGAGGATTAAAGGTTAGAAACACACTAAGAGCCAACGACGTAAGTTTTGTACAATTAGAACGTGTGTTTCAAGTGTGTATCTATTATGTGTTATGTAGGTCACGTGTCGCATTCTGTCTGACTAATCTGCTTCGTCTGTTTGTCTCAAGGCCAACTGTGAGTAATAACTTAGTAGCGCTCGAGCGGACTGTAAAATTTGAAAACTTCTAGGAGCTCGATTTCCACGCTCGAGCAAGACTTTCCTCGCTCGAGCGGACAACGTAAATTCTGAAAATTCCAGAATTGCACTTTAAATTCAATTTTGGTACTCAAAGCCTCAAAACATGTATTTTTGGTACACAAAAATGGAGAACCACTGTATGATTTCGTAAACACTTCCAATTAAATACGGATTAGTGGCTAATTACGGATAAGGGTTGTTACAGGCCTGACCTTAGTTTTCTAGCCCATGGGCCAACTCGGCCCGGTCCAATTTTTGGCAGGAGCTCGCAAGGCCTGACATGGGCCGGGCCAAAATTACATCCCTATGTATCCACCGACTTTTATACTACCAATAAAATTCTTTTTTTATTTCCAAATTTGACAGTCTTCGTTTATTTCCAAATCTGTTCAGGTTTTTTTTTGTTTACTTTTTTTTTTTTTTTTTCAATTTGGAGCTCATTTGGCATATCTTATTTTAGTTACACTTATCTTATTTGAATTACATCGGTTGTGTTTAGTTGTGTTCTGAAAATGTAATTCCACCTCTCTATTTGTATTTCATATTTGGATAAAATTTTCAAAATGTGATTTCATCACACATTTCAAAATGTAATTCTCCTTCACGGTTGGCTACTTTCTCTCTTTCTTGTTTTCCATTCTGAAAAGCACAAGATTTTTGAATTTTGGGTCTACCCGGTCATCCTCCCAGACATCCGGCCAGTTGACTGGAACAGTGTAATTTTTTTTTTTTTTTTTTTGCAATTGTCAATCGCCAATTGCCACCTGTTATTTAAAAAAAAAAATTTATATTTATTTTTGATATTTTTTAAATATAAAAATTATTTTTTTTTAACCAAAATGACATTTTTTTTTATTTGAATGTTAAAAAAAGTTTGGTTATGAGTTTTATATATAATTTTCAACAAAGTTTTGAGTTGTGTATTTGGTTATGAATTATTTTCAATTAAAAAAAATTATGTTATTTTTTGTTAATAATTAATTTTTTGAATTGAATTTTAAAAAGAGTTTGATTATGAATGTTGATCAGAAATTTCAATAGAGTTTTGAGTTATATGTTTGGTTATAAGTTATAACTTTTTGAATTAAGTTTTGAAAACTCATAACCAAACAAATTTTTTTATTTCACATGTTATATCAAACATTCAACACTCAATTCAAAACTCTTTTCAAAACTCATAACCAAACAAATTTTCTACACTCAAATCATAATTCAAAAACTCATAAACTCAAAATACAATTATATTCTCAAATCATATTTAAAAAATTTTACCAAACGCTATCATCATCTTTTTATCATATAATTTTAATTTTAATTTATATTTTATATTTTATATTTTTTTATAAAAAATTAAAAAATATGCCAACCTATGACTTTCCAAACAACCCCTTGATTAACTACCAATAAAGTTGTGACTTATCTATTTTTTTATAAATAATTTTTTATTTTCCAAAGAAACAAATTTCCCGCTTAGTGCATAAATACTAACATAATAACCATGTTATGCACATTTTTTGGCGGGGTAAGTATCATGCTATGCACATATTTAATAAAAATCAAATTTTAATTTGATAATTGAATAATAACAATGAAATTGTTTTTTAATGCAAAAATAATAATTAAGAAATTAAATAAATTATAACAATGTTCATCCTAATTTTGATTTAGGTAGAATTTTATAGAGAAAAAAGGAAAGATAAACAAAATTTTAAAAAATAAAACATAAATTTAATGAAATACTTAGGTACCGTTTGGTAACACTTACGTTTTCAGTTTTCTGTTTATATTTACAAAAATTTTAAAAACTCAAATAAAAACTTGTTTGGTAAAATTTTTGATTTATAAATCAGTGGTCTCAGTTTATAAATTTGGCCAAAAAATGAAAACACAAAAAATGTGTTTCCATTTTGAGTTTTCAGTTTTTTTTTTTTTTTACCACCCAACACTAGCCACCACCCGCCACCATTTTCCACCACCGTCTTCCGCCTCGGACGGTGGTGGTGGCGTGCGCGTGTGTGGTGGTTTTGGCTAAGGTTTACTTTGTCCGTAACTCCTCTCTTCTACAAACTTGGGGTGCCCCTTGGGGCCCACCCAAGGCCTCGTTTGGGAACCATCCCTTTTAGCAAAAAAGTCAAAAAGTTACTAAATCAGCCAAAAAGTCAACACCCCATACCAAAAAGTCAAATATTCTCTTTTCTCTTTACTTTTTGCACATCTTTTCGTAAAAAGTTAAACAATCATCTCAAGCATATTAATTTTGTTATATCATATTTTAGTCAAAAAAATAAAAAATTATTAAAATAACATATTTCCAAATGAGTTAACCTTTAGTAATTTTACATATGAATTCCTAGATAGCTTGATGATTAAGAAAAACTAATTAGCAATTTTGAGTGATTTGTTGAATAAGAAAAAAGCTTCATTCAACAGTTATTGAGTGTAAAATTTAGAAGAGCAATGCTATACAAACAAAATAATTCCTACATAATTATGTGGTTCACTTCAAAACAAAACATGATAAATTTATTTACAATAATTACCACATCATTCTTGTGAGGGTTTTTTGTTTGAATTTTATGTATGAACATAATTTGCAATGTAGAATGTTATTCCTTTGACGGTTCTTTGGTGACATTTTGGAGATTTTTTTTATATTTTTAAAGTGTAGACCAACAGTTTTAGAATATAGATCTGGACTTTTTATGTTTGAAATAGGAGTTTTGAGAGTTTTCTCCTCCAATTTTAGCATAGATTTTGCCACCACCATCTGCCATCCGTCACCCACCTGCCACCATCAACCACCACCCGCTACCACCACCACCACCACCACTCGCTACCACCCACCATCCATCACCGTCACCCACCCACCCACAACCACCACCCACCCGCCACCACCAGCTACCCACCACCTACCGTTACCACTTTCCACCACCGTCTTTCGCCGCCACTTGCCGCCACTTGCCATTTCTCATTCTTCTTTATATTTTTAAAATTTTTTAAACATTTTGTCAATTACTAAACGTGTTTGTAGTTTATGTTTTTCTAAAAAAAATAAAAAATAATCAAAAAGCAGTTTATAAAATTTTTATAAATATAAATTGAAAACGTAAACGTTACCAAACGCACCTTTATAGTCGCAAATACATTTTTTTTAATTGCTATAAACGAATTAATCAGATCGGCATTAGTAAGGCTAAGTTTGGCAACATCAAAATAATCTATCTTTTTATCTTTTTTTCATCACATCACTTCTCTACTTTTTTACATATTTTTTCATAAAAAAATAAAAAATACACTTATTTAGGTCATCTCAAACAACCCGTAAATACTCATACACCTTACTCGTGTGAGAATATGAAAAAAATAAAAATAAAAATAAAAATTTGATTGATCTCGTAGTATGCTCCCACCTAATTGGAAATCGCAACCCATACGTAGATGGAAGAACTTTTCTATGCCGAGAAAATATGTTGAAGCTTTTCTTGCCAAGGAAAGCTCTGATATTCACCAAGAAAACTCCAATCATCACAAGATCAATCTCTTCAACACCTCCATTCCCATCTTCACCATCACCTTCTCTCTCATCTAACCTCACCAACACTTTCCTCAACTGCAAGACCCCAACCCAAGCCTTAGAACTCTTCAAACGCGTTTCGAGCAGACTAGACGCACACAACAACACTTTGCACTACCCAGCAATCATTCACGTCCTAACCAGGGCCAAATTGTATGTCCACGCCAGGTGTTTGATGAAATGCCTCATCCGAAACCGCCTCCAGACCCGCAAGCGTCATCGTGCCTGTTCATCTGTGTTCCACTTGCTTAGCCGCTTGGAAACCCCCAAATTCTCTCCCATGGTGTTTGGTGTGTTAATCATTGCATTATCTGAAATGGGTTTTGTCGAAGAGGCCTATTGGGTGTACGGAAAGATCGCGGATTTGCCTGCAATGCAGGCTTGCAATGCACTCCTTGATGGGTTTGTCAAGATGGGTAGGTTTGATTTGATGTGGAAAGTTTACGAAAACATGGTGTCACGTGGTGCTTCGCCTAATGTTGTGACTTATGGTGTATTGATTGATGGATGTTGTGATCAAGGAGATATACCAAAGGCACACATGTTGTTTGATGAAATGGGTGAGAAAGGGATTGAACCAACGGTTGTGATCTACACAACTCTAATACGTGGTCTGTGCAGCGAGAGTAAAATGTCTGAAGCAGAAAACATGTTTAGGACGATGAGGGAATCGGGTGTACTCCCTAATCTGTATACTTACAATACTCTGATGGACGGGTACTGCAAAATGGCCAATGCACAAAAAGCCCTCAATTTGTATCAAGAAATGTTGGGTCGTGGTGTGCTGCCTAATGTTGTTACGTTTGGTATCCTAATTGATGTGCTCTGCAAAGTGGGTGAATTGGTGGCAGCCAGAAATTATTTTGTCTGTATGATTAAATTTGGGGTTGTTCCTAATTTAACAGTGTATAATTGTTTGATTGATGGCTATTTTAAGGCAGGGAACCTATCTGCAGCGATGGATATGTATTTGGAGATAAAAATGTTTGAAATTTCTCCTGATGCGTTTACGTACAGTATTCTTATGAAAGGTCATTATAATGTCGGTAGATTGGAAGAAGGGTTTGATTTATTAAGAAAAATGAATAAAGAGGGAGTCCTTGCAAACACCGTGACGTACAATACACTAATTGACGGGTATTGTAAAGCAGGCAATATGAAGAAGGCTTTGGAGTTATGTTCTGAAATGACTGAGAAGGGTATAGATCCCAACGTTGTCACCTTCTCTATCCTCATAAATGGTTACTGCAAGTTTAGGAACATGGAGGCTGCCATGGGATTATACACGGAAATGGTAATCAAAGGCCTTGATCCTGATGTTGTTACTTACACAGCTTTGATCGATGGACATTTCAAAGATGGTAATGTAAACGCAGCTCTCCAGCTGCATAAGGAGATGCTAGAAGCTGGCCTCAAACCTAATGTTTTCACAGTTAGTTGCTTGATTGATGGCCTATGCAAGGATGGAAGAACTAATGATGCAATCGAGCTTTTCTTAGAGAAAACTAGAGCTGTTCAAAATGGAGGTGAAATGAGTCAGGTGAATCATGTTATGTATACATCTTTGATTCAAGCTCTGTGCAAGGATGGGCAGATTTTCAAAGCCAGTAGGTTTTTCTCAGACATGCGATATTACAATTTGAAACCAGATGTGATCACTTACGCAGTCATTATACAGGGTCATTTTCGAGCGAAGCATATGATTGATATGATGATGTTGCATGCAGACATGCTGAAGATGGGTATGATGCAAAATGCAATCATATACCAGATCTTGGCTAGAGGTTATCGAGAGATTGGAGATCTCGAATCAGCTCTCAGGTGTTCCCAGGATTTATCCAAATCAAGTCTTTGGTGTCTGGAACTTCCCTTAATATGATCTTTTCTAGGTCATATGAACCATAGTTTTGTGGTGAAGGAGAGCAGTAGAGCAAGTTGTTGATAATTATTTTTTGAAAAGAAGGTTGATATCTTCTGAAAGACTGTTGAGCTTTTTGAGGGGCTGCAAACAAGGATGGTTAATCTGTCAATTGTTGCCAGAGGAATGGACTGAGTTCTAACAGTGTGTCATGAATTGATGTTCTTTCTTACCAAATTGTGAAGACAAAGACATCCATGAGTGTTATAGGAAGATGTTTTAACTTAGCGCGAGCGTGCATCAATTTGTCGTTTGCCTAAGAGCTGAAAACAACGGAAGCCAGCCGAGCTCATTTGGCTTCACTGGGGGACTACCGAAACCAATTGCCCTAGGGGATTGCAAAGAAGAGCCAAAACTCAAGAAGCCTATGAATTGCAAAGAGGAGCCAAAACCCAAGAAGCGGAAGCGAAACCAATGGCTTTTATTCTTTGTAAAGTAGGGCTTTTTACAGACAAAAATAGTGAAAAAAATGCCATCCTGCAATTTTTGTGTTGCATATGAAGGGAATCACATTTATATTCAAATTTTAAAGCAATGTATAATTTTAACTGGTTCTAACAGATATGGTGTTTGGATGGACTTTTGACTGCAAATTACTTCTTTAAAATCTTCCGAAATTTGTTGGTTAATTTATTCTAGCAAACATCTCAACACTCCATAGTAAAAGGAAAAAATAAATAACTTTGATGGTATGTGGTGACGACAGTACATGTGTGGGGGAAAAGAATCATTTTTTTGGTTTCAACATCCATAAATTTCTCTTGGAACAAATGACAAATTTTCTTCTGTTGCAAATTTGATGTAACATACATCTCTCTCTACCCCGTTTGATGGGACATAAAGCTTAGTTTGGTTTGGTTTCTCTCTCTCTCTCTACGAAAACGGCATCTCAAACATGTATGTGTGTGTTCAAAATTAAAACTAATGCAATGCCAGATATGCACTCACCATGATGCCGTTGTTTTAGCAATACACGCAGAGAGTGTAGATAATTTGAGGAAAGAACAGAAAAGAAAAATAAAATTGAAAAAAGTAAATAAAAATAACAATCAGAAGGTGCAATATACAATGCACACATGAAAATGCTTTATTAAACAGGACATTGATGAGATGGTATTGTTACAGGGATGAGTGCTGAAAAATAGGTTGAAACAACTATATTCCTATACGAGATATACCACACAAATTGTGTCACAACAGCACTCCTGATCAGAAATTATGTTTTTTCTTATTAATTTCACCTCTGACAGCAGAGAAATCAACCGTTTTATCTGATAACAACATGAAGTCGGCAATATGCTGCTCTGTCTGGTTGTGCTCGTTATCTGCAAATACAAAGATGATCATGCTTGGATCAGGTTGGATGACAAATACTAAAAGTAGCAGCTCAAGAAAGCTGAAAATTATCAACCACAAAAGTAAAATAATGTTTTTTTCCATGCTTTTGACTTTCTGTTTCCAGTGAGCAACTTTCTTTTTCAACGATTTTAGTGAAAATTTGCAAATATAACTTATCTGCAAAGCAATTTGCTCAAGCCCAATGCAGAGACATCCATCACAGGTGTTATAGTATGATAGTACTTACAACAAACTCCCCATTTGGCATGGGCTAAAGAAGTTTTTTCGCTAAACAATTCCAAAAGCAAAAATCTGCCTTGAAAGCAACTAAAATAAGTTTAAAAAGTCAACTTTCCCGCCTATCAAAAAGCAACTTTTTTAGCAATTACCAAATACATCAGCATTTTTAGATTTTTTTTTTTAAAAAAAAATCTAAAAAAGCACATGTCAAAGAGTGACTCAATGCACAAGACTACTGCTAAAGCAGGGTATGGGGAGCTAAAGAGGAATCTGAGGAGCCTTACATCAATTTATGAAGAGGTTGTTTCTGTGACTTGAAACTACGCCACCAAAGACGTTAATGGCAACTCTTACCATTAGGCCAAGCCGTTCTTTACTTTCAACAAACTTAAAAGATCAAAATACCCTTCAGACTTTATTCTCTGATCATTATGACGCATCATACTGAAAATTCATTCAGGAATTGAAGGATTCTATAAAACCGAGATCAACTTTGTTTTTGATCCTATTTATAATGATTCCAATTTGCTTTCTTTCATAGCAGTTAAAGGGAAACTATGCCACACAACTTACAGTCATTCAGGATTTTTGTTGTCATTTTTATTTTTCAGAATCCAAATTTTGACATTGACTTTCCGTTCTGATTCTAAAGATCGGATCATGCTTGAAAGGAAAAAGAAAAATACTGGAATATGTGGCAAGTGAGAAACACCATACATGAGAGTGTAGGACAAGTGAACTGCTTATTGACTTGAATAAGAACTCTTCGACTTCAAAGTTTCATACGGCGACAGCAACGGGCTTTTTGCTGGTTTTTATTCCTTTTATAGCTGCAACACATTCGTATCAATAAACAAAGGTTAAAAATACATCTTTTTTTCATATGATATAAAATTAAATTCTCTTTTATAGGTCTTATGTGTCCATACCTTCAGCATAATCTTTAGCTCCAAAAACAGCAGAACCAGCAACCAAAGCATTGGCCCCAGCCTCGATAACCTGCCAGCATCATAACAACTACAAATGAATATATTATGTATAGGTCCTGTCATTAATCGTCCCACTTGTATAGACATTGTTCATACATTATTGAAAAAAATTTGTTCTCATCCAATGAGGTATCATGATATGTTTTTACTTATAAAATAAATGGAACCTAGTGTAGTTTAAAGGAAGTTCAATTCATTAAGCCAAAAATATCTAGTTCTCCTTTCGGTTTTGGCTTTTCTAGCCATTTTTGGCTAATTAAACCAAAAATAAAAGCTTGTTTGTTTTAAGCTAAAAAAATAAAAAAAATAAAAAAAAAAAAAGAAGACGCTAAGGACCCATTCAACTTTCCCACTAAGAAAAAAAATAACTTGTTTAGCATTTACCAAACACATCAACGTTTTAGCAACAACTTCATCCTAAACAGCATAAAAGCAAAAATTACTAAAAAAGGCCATTGCCAAACCAGACCTGAGTGTGACATGAAGTAGAGGGCTACTTCATGTTCAACCTATAAAATATGTTAAAACAGAGTTCAATGCACCATCCAGATGCTACTTGAGCATCGATACTTCAACAATAAAGGTGGAAAAAGAATTAAAATTTTCCTTCACAACTATTATTGGCAATAGAAAGAAAGTTTCCGGCAGATAATACTACTTAGGGGCAGATCTCCATATAATGGAAAGGACTTTCTAGATGGCGAACCTTATATGCATTTTTGGGACCAACTCCACCATCTACTTCGACCCATGGGTTCACCCCCTGCAAAAAGAAAAACAAAAACAAAAACAAAAAAGACAATGTTATTGTTTTCATTTTATTGTAAGGACTGCACAAGAAATAAGAATGCAATACCTTCTCTGCACACATTTTTCTTAAATCTGAGATTTTCTTAACTTGGCTCTCAATAAAGCTCTGCCCACCAAATCCAGGGTTCACCGACATGATCAAGACCAGATCAACCACTGTTAACAAGAAAAGAATATCATTCCAACAATTCCATTCCATTTGACCACATGAACCTAAATGATGACACTAATATCTTCTCCACTGAAAAAGTACGCTTGCTACATTATATTACAAAGATGGTGTCTCTCGATTTACATAAGAACGAAGTTCGTGTTAGTGGAATCTACATTAGAAAACATTCCAATTACACACATATTTCACTCTGCTACACTAATGGCTGCTCGAATCCCAATCTCTTTAGTTATCTGAATCAATTTGCCATTACACTTTCATATTCAGTGACGCAAAGTACCCATGATCACCTCTTTTCTTTTCCCTTCTTTTTTCTTAAATATGTATATAAGTCTATTCATATTCCATCAACTGAGGCTATATATGAATCCACACCTGATCAATAAAAAAGGAAAACTGTCCTTCTCTGAGAATTGTCTTTGAAAACTTTAGCATTACACGAATACTAAAAGGTTGGTAAGAAACAGATCTTACCATCAAGAACATATTCTATTGCAGTTAGTGGGGTAGCTGGGTTTAAGACAACTCCAGCTTTGGCTCCCAGACTTTTTATCTGAATCACAAGAAAAGACAAGAATCGTCAAAGGAAATTACTAGTAGCAAAAAAATACGGAAAGCAATCTCCAATTAGAATTAAATGGGAAAATAAGTATATCAAAGCTGAAAGGGAGGAAAAAAAAAAAAAAAAAAAACTAAACACATATTTCTCCAGCACCTTAACACTGTGGCAGTATAACAAAAGGCATCAGAACTATCTTACAGAATATGCAATCAGAAGTTCAGAGAGGAAAACTTACTTGATTAACTGTGCGATGCAGATGGATGGTGGAAGATTGCTCACAATGGACACTGACTATGTCAGCTCCTGCCTTCACAAAATCAGGCACTCGCTGGTCTGGTTCAACAATCATCTGCAATGATTTTATTCACATTAGCAAAAATATTGTCAATCAACACATACCTGAAAAAGAATTAATTAGGGCATGAAAATTGAAGAATACCAAATGTACATCCAATGGAAGGTCTGTTACAGGGCGCAATGCATCAACAATAAGAGGCCCAATTGTTATATTTGGAACAAAGCGACCATCCATTACATCAACATGAATCCAGTCACAACCTGCCAGCTCCACTGCTTTTACCTAGATATATATAAGGGTCAAACTCTAGCACCCACGAAGGATCAACCTACGTCTCAAAGTATTAATGTCTGAGGAAATACAGATACAGAATTAAAATATGACCGGCAGAAAACTCAGACAAACATGTCACTAGCAGAATCACTAACTTTAAGCATTGAACATGCTGAGGACTTTAGCAAGTGCTATGGATTTTAGCACGTTCAAAATGCCTAAAGAAAAAAAAGGACAAACTTTTTTTGGGTGAATAAAAAGCACAAACTTGTACAATAAAATACAGCAGAATGAACATGTTGAATTGAATATGATAATCACACTACTAGCGCTAAATCCTGAGTCAGCATTTAGAGCAGCACAGATCAAAAATACAAAATATAACCTGCTCTCCCAACTTTGCAAAATTTGCAGAGAGAATTGATGGAGAAACAATGATGTCACTTTTTGAGAATTTGTCCACACGAGCAGATGCCTTCACTATAGCTCGAAACTTTCTCCTGGATTCATACATAAAAAATAAACCAAAACATATCAGAAATGGAGTGCAAGATCCCATGAAAGTTCTTAAGGCAAACTAACTAGCAACATGCAGAGAAATAACCTCCCATTCTTTGGTAGCATAAACATACAAAACCAAGCATAAATTGAAATAAGGAAAATGATGACACCATTGATCACATTATGTTACTATTTCACATGGAAAAATATAACTAAGAAAAAAAAAGTAGATCTCCTACTTGCTAAATCAAATGGTAACTAAAGCCTCAAATAGAACCATATCTCAATATTTGAGGAGCATAACTGTTCACGGTAATTAGATGGAATCACGTTATTAACGAATTGGAAAGATGTAGAAGAATTTATTCTCCCATAGAAAAGGATAAAGAAATTAAAAACACATCATTGCATATGTGACTAGACATAGAGCCAAACATAACACTGCCAAGTCTAAAAAATGTGAAGGGTCAAAGAAAGGGTAAGATAGTGAAGTTTGTGTATACGCTCCTAACAAGGTACTTGTGTAAAATACAAACACCCATCCACCCTCAAAAACACATTTATTTTTCCTCAGAGAACGAAGATCATGGAGAGTCCTCCTGAACATAGCTTAGTATTTTAAACTTAAAGAGCAGAAACTTGATTCTTTGAAAATTGAGAATGAACCTAAAGAAATGGAAGGAACAACTAATTTCTATCATGTAAACACCAAGAATTGTTTAATCACATCTTTAATGGTAATATTTCATGAGAAATACTCGAACGCAGATAAAGCAAATTTTGCTGCACATATATACAGGCATATTGATTTGTCTGAGAATTTTGGAGATTAAATGGATAAATTAGTGCAACTTTTTGAGCTTTAGAGAATCATTTCAATAAAATTCCTCAACGCTGATTGAAGTTGGGTAACTGTTCACTGAAAATTTAAAAAACATTGTTCAGATATAATTATGACTCAAGCCAGTACATTGAAGTTCAGTTTAGCATATTCACAAACACTGAATGAGCAAAACTCAAAAAAAAACATTCATCCATTTGTACACAAACATGTCAAACAAGTAAGAGGTTAACACACTCCCTGGACTTAACTGCTTTCAAGTCCAAAGCTTTCTAGTTCAAATTTCCTAAAATTCAGTGCATTAATTTAACTATTTGAGTGTTTAACACTTTATAAGAACAAACGCATCAATACCCAAAAACAGAGTTTCCTCCTTTGATTATTACCTACTGCAATTAATCAACTACATAATTCAAGCAATTCAACACAAGTCAAAAGAACCCATTTGGTTTTTCTACTGGGTTTCTCAAACCAGAACATAATCAGTTAGAAATACGAAGATATTAATCAAATGGACAAAAACCCAATATGGTACCTGGTAAAGGTGATAGAATTGGGATGAGAGAGAGATTGCTTTTGAAGCGCACCAAACCCCTTAATCTGGGACTGGACAAGAGTTGACGAACCCAACGAAGCTGTTGCCATTCTCTCTCTCTCTCTCTCTCTCTCTCAATTATGAGAAAAAAGTTTGGTGACTTTGATTTCTTTCTCTACCGCTGACCAATCTTTGGCAAAAAAAAGAAAAGACTGATAAAAATTCTGAAGGAAATAGAGAACAAATTAAGAGGTTGACACGTGTCAGGTTGTGGGGATGTTTTGCTTATCTGCAATGGTTGGCCTCTATGTATTCATAGGGATGTGCAAAAACATACACCATCTTGTTTTTGGTGTGGTAGTCTAGTCATCATCATCCTTCTCTTGTTGTGTTAGTTTGCAACTGCACTCAATCCTTACGTATGCAAAGGAAATTTTTGGTTGGAGACAACATCAAAAAAATCAAAACAAACCAATTATGAGGATAGCAATGCCAATATTGTTGATCTCCCTTGAGGATTAGTCAACCGTAAATATTTACGGATAAAATTTTAAAATCTTTAATTTGAGTTATTCTAATGAGTAACTAGAGATTTGTTACTGTTAATTTAAAAGTTCTAACTTTGCGTTGGCATTAAAAATTTTTTTTTTTTAAAATTTTTTTTTTTTTTTTTTTTTGGATAAACATGTTCAAGCATGGAGATATGATTCAGTATATGGTTGAAGGAAGGACCACAAGATTGGTGATATGTTGTGGATTTTAATATGAGAACAAGGATAGGGTTGAAGCAGTTAAAGAGCAATTTCATATGTAGCAATGGAAAAGGTAATTTCTTCTATCAATATGTTTGAAAATGTGAGGGGACATGGCCAAACGTGGCCCAAGAGTGGGAACATGATTTTAAAGATATGTCGGTAAAGTACACGTGGCATATTTACCTAGACTAAAGAGAAAAGAAGGCTATAACAGACGGAGGTAGTTATAGGCAGTTGTGAAGATTATGAGCAGTTATTCAAGAAGTAGAAGTAACCTGCTTCATGGTAGAACACCTGGCAACACACAGACAGCATGACCAGTGGCATAAAAGCTAAAAATCCTTGTGGTCAATGAACGGAAAAAAACATCAATTCACAACTTGAGAAGTCTAAGATTAATCTAATCTATTTATGAGTGACAGTACCTATAACTAGGAGTAGCAATAGTAGTAGCAGTTAGTATTTGTTCTAAGTCCTGTCGATTGCAATACTAAAAGACTTGGGATTTGATCATTGTGGTTAAAGTGACAAGTTTTATTATTTTCAGTCGATTTTCAATTATATTTACTTTGTTTTTGTTTCGTTTTGTTTCTTTTTTTTTCTTCAAGAAGTAAACCTCCAAAGAACTTCTTGAACCTGTCAAGGAATTAAGACTCTCAACCACATTGTTTGATCTTATTGTTTGTGAAAATTGATTTGTTTGTTGTTTGTTAATATCACACACAAACTAGATTTTTGCTAACACTTTGTCATCTCAATTTGAGAGAGTATTTGGACTTGGTAAGCTCATTTTGAAACTGATTTCAGTGATCCGAACCATTCACTTTTTTTGACTTGTTGAGTAGAATATTCATGCAAAATATAAGATGATTGGATATCGGTAGCTATATATTTAAATCATATTTATTTTAAAAAAATTGATGACAAATATAATTTCAAAAATAACCATCTATTTTTTATAATACAAATTTAATTCAAATATGTAATTACCGATATCCAATCATCTTTATTTTTTATACGAATATTCTTCTTAACAAGTCTTAAAAAATGAACAATTCAAATTATTAAAAACAGGTCAAAATCGAGACTTGTTATGGACTCTACGAATTTCTCAAGTTCTCTCGTATTGAAATGCCAATATAAAAAAAAGTATTAATCTAAATTTTAAAATCTTATGACTGATTGAGATGCATACAAATTAGTGCAGACTCTATTGTCAAAAAATAAATAAATAAATGTTATTGGCCTTCCTTTCTTTCACCAAGACCTATATGATTCGTTTAGTAATTTCTTTCTTACCAGCAGTCAAAGGTTAATAACAAAAATTTGAAGTTTAAATATTTTCCCTCTAACTTGTAATCAGTTTATTGCACTTTTAAACATATATTCTCTATGTGTGGGTAAAAATCTGACCACACTGCCTGCTTAGTGATCAACTGGAGAGCACAGGCAGAATAGATGGCTTCAGCAACCTGAAACAGAAAGAAAAGGCTCCGGCGGTGGTTCTTCCACCCGGGGGCACTCCGACGATCAAGTCAGTATATCTCTCAAAGATAATCAAGTGCAAAACTTAGTACTCAAAACATAAATTGCATACCTTAGACCCACGGGGGTGCCTCTTTTTTATAATATACTCAACCCAAGTCCCACTAGAAGTATGACTTCTATGAACTCCAATTTAGTGCTTACTTTGGACTCTTTAAGAGATAAAGATAAACTCCCTTAAGAGTTTTATCTTGGTTAAGTCCCCTCTTTGTCTTAGGACTCTTGTCCCTTATCTGCTTATCTCGGATTCCGATATCCTCGGGGATAACCTCGGCAACTCCGAGATCATCTCGGCTTAACTATGACGACACGTGGCACCTCGGCTGACACGTCGACATCACCATGCCACGTGTTGGTATTCAAAAAATATATCCCCACAACTGCCCCCTAGGTTCTATTACCTCAGCATTCTGAGGTGATGGAACCTATATCGACATTTCAACATTTCTTTTCTGAGTAATGGCTCAAAAACTGTTTAGCCGAGATAATCCTCTTCCAGCCGACGTGTTCTCTTCGGAGAACAAGGTTTCGAACATACTTCCCCACGCGCATGAGCTGTCATGCATATCTAACTGTTCCTTTTCACGTGTTTTGTCTTCATTGGAGCGTGTCTGTGACGCACCTGAAAGCTGTCTGTCATTTGTCTGCGCCGTCTGACGCGTGCGTTGCTCCAGGCGTAATAATTGCCCTAATTTTGCCGCCGTTTCAAATTTTTGACAAAACTCTTCTTTGTCTCTATTTTTCCTTCACTTTTTCATTCTGATTTCTTGCTCTTTCTCTCTCCGAAAGCTCTTTCTTCTTCGAATCTGCCATTGCTTCGATCTCTCTTCTGGAACTGTCCTTAATCTCCCATTCTTGCGAAACTTTCTTTGCTGTTGCAACCGATTTCTGAGCTCGGCGAACATTGCCCCGGCTTCAATTGTTCTGGTAAGATTCTTCCCTTTCATTCTTAATTCTCTCTATGTGCTTCCGTCTGCCTGTTGCTATTAGCGCTTTTGTTCAAAGCCTTGGATCTGTTTGTATCTTGAATCATGGCTTCATCTTGAACACTTGCATTATTTTACCACTTTTTTTTGCCACTGTTTTTGATTTTTTTTTTTACTTCTGTATTTCTTTTGTTTCTGAGAATCATACCTCTGTTCTTTAATTCTGAAGCGTCGCCTTTGTTTTCTTGTTTAGATCTGTGCCTTCGATCTTGATCTTTATAGTTCTTTGGCTTGGGAGTTGTGTGTAGAACCTTCAATTTTTAAGGAAAACTGAAACAAGCCTTATCAGTCATTTCCTAGGTCTTTGCCGAGGTTCTTGCAACCCTTCTTAAAACGCCCATCTTCTGAAACACATTTTAAGCTGACATAATGGGTTTGTGGAGGCATAGGGTAAATACCCCAACAAAACTTGAATATTTTAGGCAGGAATTCTCTATCCCAGCCGATGTTCACCTTAAGCTAGCTGGGAATAATGATACCATCATGCCCACAGATCATACAATGCCTTTTCCTATAGTAGCTTTTACCGAATGTGGACTTCGGCTTCCACTTCACCCCCTTTTTCGTGAAGTTCTTCATTTCTACAGGCTGAACCCCATGCAACTTACTATCAACTCCTATAGGGTGATTAAAAGTTCTCCATTTCTATAAGCTGAACCCCATGCAACTCACTATCAACTCCTATAGGGTTATTAACGGTCTTATAGCCTTGGCTAGGCAAGAAAACCTTAGAATCACCCTAGCCGACCTTCAATATTGTTATACCATGTGCCCTCTCGACTTGAAGGACAGGGGTTTTGTCTATTACCTTAAGCCGAGATCTACTCAGTACAAAATTGTAGCCGACCTCCCAGACTCCAACAAGGGGGCTGGAGATGATTTTCTCATTGCTTCTGGAAATTGGGAATTTGGCCCTGACGAAGATGTCCACCTCTACCCTTTGCCTCGAACAGTTACAGAGGGCAAGAGTAAGAGCCCTGAGTCAACACTTAGTTGTTTTTATTTAAGTCTTTGATACTTTCTGTTTCTGACGTCTGTTTCTTTGTTCTGCAGATCTTCATCAGCCACCGAAAAATTTCCGTCGATCCTTCGTCCCAGGACCAGATCTGAAAAAACTCCTTAACCTTCCAATCCATAACCGAAAAGCCCCACTGTTACTAAACTTCATCTCTACATATAAATCCACTTTGCCCGACGTTCCAAGAAAAAGGAAGAAGAGCCTTTCTCTCCCTACTGCTACAACTTTAACTGCCTCTACATCCCGAACAGATTAAGAGTCCACATCTGACCCAGCCGATCTTCCCTCCACTTCGGCCCCCTACTTAATACCAATTCCAGAACGTAAACGTCGACGAAGACTGGTAAAGACTGCCGAGATGGTTCGTCCAAGGCCTGTTGCTCAAGATCTTCTTGCCGACCTTCCAACTGACGTCGAAGCCGCACCAACGCAATCAATGCTCCCACCCAAACCAAAGAGAGTAAAAAAGGTTCAGCCTAAGGCCAAGGCTACAGATGCCGAGGCTGAGGATGCTTTGCCGATTT